ATTATTGCAATAAATTTTACTGAGGCTGAACATGAGATTACACGTTCCTGGAGGGCCCCTACTTTTCCTTACCGCTACTTTCTTGACAATATGTCCCACACCATGTTTTTTGACAAACTAATTGCTCACCAGGAAGATACGCTCCTTAAATTTGAGGCGGTATGGACTCCCTGGATAGAGCATTTTTTTCCCTTCTGGATTTCAACAGACCTCTCTATCTATATAACAGTGCTAGTATGACATTTATGGGGGATGCCGAGGAGATAGATCCTTTCCTTAACTCCTCCATTTCACCCCATCCCCTCTCTTTTTTCCTGCTAGGAATATTATGTGGACCAATTTTGATTGAATATTAACATATTCTGGTTGTGTTGCTCCTTCAGAGTTACTATGTTTGATTTTTGTATAACATTTTACTGTTTCCGATGGTGGGCTTTGCGTATTCTGATTTATAGGCACATGTTGTTTGCCAGTTCACCATTCTTACTTTGTATGCCATGGCTCGTATGTGCTTTCAACATTGTGTAATGTTTTCGGTGAATATGTTTTTCAAGTACCTTAACTATTAGCATACATGTATCTTATTTGTGTATCACTCAGCTGTAGATCTTCAAATCGTCTCTCAATTCATGTTGACACTGTCCTTCCTTCTGGAGGGTGGCTGCTTTTGTTCCCCATGGTTCCTGTGTGTGTTGTAAAGTAGACACCGCTCCAAATTCAAGAAATAAGATAAGCATTACACTTTAATCCTCTACCTCTAGACCTAATGACTCTTTAACCCTTGCAGTGTGGGGGCAGGGGGCACTGAGGGTTTTTCCTATGTAATTCCCAGAGTGCCGCTTTAAAGTGACCTTGTTGCTATAGTCAATATTTTAAATGAATGCATAACTGTAAGAGGGCTCTGCTTTAATCCTGAGAAAAGTTAATGCGAGGTCTGCACAGAAATAGGGAATTCTGGGTGTGTTGATCTCTTGCGTTCCCCACAGCGCTCACTGGTTCCTCCAGCTTACCTTCTACCACTACTGTATATTTTGTTGGGTGAAGGTCAGAAAGTGAGAGCTGCAGGGGACCCAGGAGATTGACACAGAAGTAGGGATTTCACATGAATATGTGGTGCAGAGTTCCACAGCATGGGCAGCAGGGAGGGCATTTGGGTTAATGACTAAAACGTAAGGATCTCTTCTTTGTTACATATAAGCACATATACAGACCATGTAACTCTGATGGTCTTTTGCCTCTAGCAATCTTTCCCATAAGACAAGCTTTAATCCCCTTTGCAATTATCAGACTTAAAAATACTGCCAGGGAATTCTAGGGAACTCTAATGTGTACTGTAGCAGAGTGATTGAACAGGCTGAGTGAAAGGCAAACTTGTGTTGCAAAATCAAGGCATTACCAGTTGAAGTGATGAAGTATAAAAAGTTTAGTGAAAATACACAAATTAGGACATAATTACACTGCACAAAAATAATTCTGAGAAGTCATAGAGCCTTTTCAGATGGGAATTCCGATCAGGTCTGCTTGTCAGATTTTCGCACAGATCTGATTGGAAGCCCAATGTTAGTCGATGGGCAGCCGTATCTAAACAGACATACGCTAGTTTACATATGATTACCCCCGACTCTGACCAAGTCTTGGTTGTGGCAGAATGGGGGTAATCTGATGTAAATGACACATGTTCATTCACATCCAATTCCCCATATTTCTAACATGGGTCTGGTAAGTAAACTAGTGGATGGACACGAATGTCACAACGCTGACATCTGTTCCGAACTGCTCCGATCAGCAGGGGATCCGTGCACAGATCTCCTTCTGATCGGAACTGACAGGCACCCGTATGAAATGGGCCTAATTCAATTTATACTTAGCAGGAATATCCACTGCTCCAAATTCAGTTTTTGCACTGACAAACTATAGAATCTTTAAACACCCAACATTTTTTTAAAAGGAAAACGTTTAGGATACAATGTGAAGTGTATAAGGGACATTACTCTGATATAGACACACCAATTTTTTTTTTTGCCTTTGGCATGTCACAAAGTTCCATTAAAGCTAACAGTTAGTTAAACTGTTAAAATACATACCGTATAGCAGAGCTTTACAAAGTCCTGCCAGACAGTAGAGCTAGGTTAGGGACATAAACATGTTTTATTGCAGTTAAAGTACCACTTAAGCCAAACCTATTTTTACTTTTGGATATGGCGGAGAGGGATTATAACAACTGTCAGGTTTTAATTGCTGTCTGTGTCCCCATTAGGGAGCTTCACCCTCTATATTTGTTGTGTGGACTGTTATTACTGAAAGTAAAAGTGAAAAACAATCCCAGATTTTGGGTTCTCACCAGAACAGGAATAGGTAGGAAATCTCCCAGCGGAGACACTAGTTCTGGTGACCCTGCTGACCACCAGGGATTTTCCTCACTTCCTGTTGTGCTTACCAGACAGAAAGTAAAGGGAAATCTCCCCAATGGAACACAGATGGCAAAGAAGCTAACAGGAGTTATAACCCTCACTTACTGTATCCAAAAACTATTAAAAAAAGTTTTGGCTTCAGTTCTTTAAGCAACTTGGTCACCTTAACAACAAAGTAGCTGCATCACACTGATGAGTTTATGCCAGTGCTCAATCTCCTCACTCCCTTATGTCAGGGCTCTGCTGCACAGGGGATTACTAGACTGATACTTATCAAAGGCAGGTACTTACTCTACCTGAATTTAAAATGCATTTAATGATTTGTAAAATGTATCTAAACCTTAAAGCAAAAGTGTAAGGCAAGGTTCACATCAAACCATGGAGGTGCGTTGTGGTAATGCATGTGCGTTAACACCATGGTTTGGAAATGAATGGGCTGGCAATGCAACTCAATGGCCCAGAAATAGGACCTGCACTTTTTATGGCAGTGCAGCATACTGCAATGCACGCCTGTGCCAAGTATGTCTATCAATGAATACTAGGCATTTTCTGATTGGACGGGGGGTGGTGATGTCACAGCAGCAGCAGGGGTAGGAAGGAGTAGAATTTGCAGTGAGATCTGAGATGCTGAAAAAGACTGGTAAGCTACTAATGGTTAATTCCTTGCACCGATGTTCCCTCCTTCCTGAAAACCTCTATCCACAGGTCTGGTCCCTAGTATTCTACTGACTATGCTGACATCTCTCCTGCTACTTATCCTTGTTTTAGACCTTCATTATGTTAAGATCAATGACAGTAGGGAGGTCCTTCATCAAAATTTTGCTGTGGGGACCCATTATCTGTAATTAGGCCCCTATATGGAGTAGATTAGGGATAGCATGTACTTAGCCCAGTTCTCCTCCATGCATTCCGATTAAAAAAGTGTGATGGAGCATGCAAAATGATTTTCGGCAAGTTGAAATTTAAGGAAGTATGTTCCAAAAAGGTTTTAATTTTGTGTGGCTATTCCTGTGATCTAATCAACCCTGCCAGACAGTACACCGAGGTCCTTGACCTTCCTTACAGCAGCAGCACACAGTGGCAAATATATACTCCCATCCTGATGATTGGAAAAAGACTGCCCAACAGCATATATACATTTTTGCTCCTGTCAGTATGCTCACTTTCACCAGATGAACCGCAGTTTAGTCTGATTGGTTCAGAGTGCTAACCTTCCCTCTCTTGTGCAAGGGAATACACAAGACATATATCAAAAGGATTTAGGGTGTTTACACTATTTGCATTTAATTATTATTTATTTGAATATATTGTATAACTGTTTGCCTAAAATTCAGACTGTAAAGTCACCTTTTTGGCTTTGGGTAGAGCGGTGAGGGGTTAGAACATCTATCAGATTTTTATTGCTGTTTGTGTCCCCAATGGGGAGTTTCACCAACTCTCTTTATCCTGGTGGTCATAGGGATTTAAAGTAAGAGAAGTTGTTGACAATTGAACACGAACAGAGGGGAAATCTAATAGGACACCTGCCCAGGTAAAACAACTGTCTATGAGAAGATTTTCCTAGCATAAGAGAGATCATCTCTCACTTCCTGTTGTGTTTCTGAGAATGGAAGTTGAGGGAAATCCCCCCAATCCGACAAAGACAGCACAAAATAAATTGATTGGTGTTTTATTTCTCTATCCAAAGTAAAAGAATCTGGCTTATGATTTACTCAATGGTTAAAATTCAGTCATTTAAAAAAAATGTGTTGCCAAACATTCTTTACAACAGACAGCAAACTGGTGACGAGGCCTTTGCGTCTGTTAAGTGAAAGTCAATGAACATATGCAAGAGGATGACTTGGTAATGGGACACTTCAGTTATTCATCCTCCATACCACTTGTAACCTTTGATACTTTTTATAGCCAGGGCTGATGTCTGACTCTAACATCTGTCTTTCTGTCTGAGGGGATACAAGGTGGAAGATCTGAGAGAAGGTCACACAACCCAGAAGAATAATATCATCCTTTATATGTGAATTTACTTTTACTTGATTATTTCTTACATCAAGGACATTTTTTAATGATTAATAAATTAAACTCATTAGAGCACTATAGGAGTTGTGTAATGTATTTAGAAGAAATGTTCTGATAGTTCTATATGAATCAACACAAGCATTCCGAAAAATGGCCAAAATTAGAAAAAAAATAATATTTTTTCTAATTTTAAGCAAGAAATCAGCTTATTAAAAGCTACATTGTTAAATTATTATTTACATTTACACTGCGGCAGAAAGATCAAATATACGGTTTAGAATACGGCCGCTGTCACCTGTTCAAGTTAATAATCGGGTGACAGCAGCCACATTTGAAAGCGGTACTCCACATGTAATTGTATGTGATTCGATTACATGCAGTTAGGAATAAATCACTATCCCTGGATGATAGACAACAGGAGATAGACAATCACTACAGTTAAAGTATTGTTGATTGTTGTGTAAAGGATTTGTTATACAAAAATGGTTACTGATCCAGCATGTGTGATATATTGTAGGATGTAAGCCATTGAGTTACTCTCTCTATAGTTACTGTTATATTTCATGGTTGCAGATTGTCAAGGATGAAATCGCAAATGAAAAAAAGAAAAACTTCTCTTTGAATGTAAAGGGTACACAGTCTTTGAAGAAAAAGAAGCCACCAGATGCAGGTAGACTTTGCAACATTATAAACTACTGAAAGAAACAATCGGTATATATACACAGCTGTTATGATTATGGACCATACATTTAGGGATTGACCCTTGGGTTTGGAATTTTGGATAGACTTAGGGCTTGTGATGATGGGCTTTTGTTTGCACCAGAACTGCTCTTTTTTCCATACAAGGCAATGGGAACACAAAAATAGGTTGAAACAGTTGGTACAGTGTATACGGAGGTTAAATGCAAGTCAGGAGGAGATCAACTGCAGGTCAAATGTAGCCGTCAATGGTCTTTGAATGATCTCAAAAGTGTTTTAAACTGATATCAAATGCAAACTGAATGCACCTGGAAGTGAGTGCATTTGCCCATGAACACATGCTCAAAAAACATTTCCTTCTGTTTACTTTTAAAATCAAATGGCACTTATTTTTTTGCAGATATTGGATTACCTGTGGAAACAGATAGCATAATACAGTTTAAGTAGTTCCATAGGCAAAAACATACAGATGATAGATAGTTTTGTTGTAAAGAGTCTCAGAAAAGCAATGAAGTCTTTCATGATAAGTGCCACATCTGTGTGTCAAGATAATGATGGTATGGTGCTAGCCTCAGCCTCTGCTTATTCATTTCCACAAGAGAAAAGAGATGTGTTAAAGTCTCAACCATTATTAAAGGAGAATTATGAGGTGAGTGATTTTCACTGAGCCTCATAATCTGAGCCGACCTGTGACAATGAAACTGTCACAGGTCGGCTCAGTAGATTGTGAAGTGAGCGAACACATAGCGGCGCTCACTCACTTCTCAATCCTGTGCCGGCAGAGAGCCGTGACAGGGGAGGGACTGGATTCCCCCCTCCCCTGTCCGATCCTCCACTGGCGGAACGGATGGGGTACTTATTCAAGTACCTTATCTATTATAAAAATGTATCTTATTTGTGTATCACTCGGCTGTAGATCCTCAAATCATCTCTGAACTGGTGCTGACGCTGTCATTCCTTCTGGAGGGTGGCTACTTTTGTTCCCCATGGTCCCTATGTGTGTTGTAAAGTAGCCACCGCTCCAAGCTCACTCCCGTGATGGACTATAATCTCACATTTAGTTTACTCATTTGTATTGAGATTGTAATCTGTCTCAGAGGCGGTACCTCCAAAATTGTTATAAAATATTAGACTATATGGAACTAGAAAAAATTGTAAATGCAGTCTACAGGTACCTGGAAAATATCATTGCACATTTGTTCCACAATTGTGTGATAAATACTGTATACATCAAAATGATTAAGAATAAATACATAGACTAATCAACAAGCTCTAACAACGTTTTGTCATTTCAGAATTATATTGTTTGGTATTATGTACACACAGATATTAGTGATAGTGAAAATGTTGGAATACTAGGGAAACACATTGGCAAGATTACTTTTTCTGATTTAAAAAAATGTAATTTTCAGATATCTGATATATTTATATTCTGCTATTTTCATTCAAATAATTGCGTGTTTATTTTTAGAGTTGGATATAATGGCAAGTCACAATTATGAATCCATTCTCTTGAGCTTAAACATCAGAAATCGCCAAAAGCTTAACTGGCTAATATAGCTTGATGATGGTGCTTTGTGTGTTGTTTTTTGTATGGCTATTGCTACTCACAACTTAGTGAACAAGCCAATGGGCATAAGCTTTAAACACTAATCAAACCAGCTATTATACGCTTGCTATCCTGTCGTTGCTTTTAGAGCGATGTATCCAAAGAACCCAGTCCTGCAAATATAAAGGAAAGGTCCAAAAACTCAATAGAGAGAATGCAGAAAAGGCAACTGTTATATATGTTGAGAACAAATCTTCAGAACTAAAGTATGAAGAGAACATTGAGGCACAAAGCTTTATCTCTATAGACATACCGATTTCAGAAACTAAAACTTGTGTGCAAGGTGGAACACCCATAATTTGCTCTGTTGAAGAAAAGGATCTCATCTCTTTAAATGAAGAACCTGTCAATGTACTAACAGATGTTGAGGAAGAAGAAGAAGTGGTCAGTGTCCAAGAGGACCAAGCTGAAGAAAAACTCATTATTTTAGTGACTGAAGATGCATTAGAAATACAGTGTGAGGAAAGGCATGAAGAGAATGAGGACAGTGAGGATGCTAACACTGAGGAAGATGATGATGATGATGATGATAGCAGCCATATGATTGCAGGGTGTGATCAAATTCAAGCAGTACTGGAAGTTTCAGAAGATTCTGAGCAAATTCTGAGGAGCATGAGCACTTCTACACCTCCTTCACCATGCCCTGCTTATGATACAGAACAGGCAACAGTCTCTTCAGCAAACAGGTAAGACATGCCAGCAGTAACTATTGTGTGTGTTTTTTAAGCTGTCATTTTTTTCTTGTTGGTTTATACAGGGGAAAAGAAATAGTCACTTTCTACAAAGTTTTAAACCAGATGCATACATTTACATCCTACACTCCAGTGACCTGTGCTGGTATAGCTGAGTAAAAGCTACACCCTTCATCCCAAATGTCCCTACACAAACTGAAATTCCTAGTGGAGGGTATAGAAAATTGACTTCTGATAATACAATTTGAACTCAGTCCTCCACATGTAGCCATCTTAATTAAACAAATACTAAGTGGGAAGTGATCCAGAAGGAGTAAGCAAATAGGTTGTGAGTATGATATCAATGCTCTTTGGCACCCATGAGCCTTAATATTAGATAAAAAGAAGATAGTTACTATTCCAGTTCATTAGGTAATAATCAATTAAAAAATTCTCAGATATTTAAAAATGTAGCTGCACGGGAAGTACATCCTTTAGTACTTTGATTGTATGCAATAATGGCACCTTTTTTGCATTGACTTATTTAAGTCCAGATTTGTAGACCCAGCCAGCAACAAATGGGTAGTTTCTCCAAGGACTCTAGGAAGGAATCTGACGCAGAACTCCTCTTTTGGTTTAAAATGGAAAATCCCCTTTAAGCACAAGGAATGTAATCTTGTTGTCTTGAGTATGTCTGATGCTTTTATTGTAAACCTCATCATGTTTTCCCCTACTGGAACTGGATTTCCATCTTGATTATTCAAAGTTAAGCAAAATAATGTGGTTTGTTTATATAGGCATCAATGTTATTGCTACTGTAAGTAGGAGATCGTAAAGCATCACACGTACACTGTTACGTCGATATCCTATGGACTTGCAGTAGACATGAATATTATCTCTCATGCTGTTATAGGCACCAGACTTGTTTAACAAGTTCTCATTACATTAACATTGAGAACATTAGCTACTAACATAAGTACTATTGGCCACAATTCCCATTTTCTGTTTATATAAACATGCCATGCACAAAGAGTCTCAATAAATGGACTTTATGTTGATGTTCTTAAAACAGAGGCTGCCATAATGCAAACTGAGTTTAAGAAAACAATTAATGAAAGGCAATATTTACCTTATACTATTTTAAAGCAGCTACTATAAAATACTCCCACTTTGCTGGTTGATTATATGGATGCAGCTATACTTGCTTATGAAACAGATTTCAAGGTAGTTTAAGTTACTGCCCACACTAGGAAATTTGAATGTAAAAAAAGTTGGCCATACCGAGTGCTGTACCCAAATTGACACTAAACTCAGGAGGTAAATCTTAAAAATGCATTCAAGTACCTTAACTATTAACAAAAATGTATCTTATTTGTGCACCACTCGGCTGTAGATCCTCGAATCATCTCTCAATTCATGCTGACACTGTCCTTCCTTCTAGAGGGTGGCTACTTTTCCCCATGGTCCCTGTGTGTGATGTAAAGTAGCCACCGCTCCAAGCTCACTCCCCTAATTGACTACAATCTCATGTTTAGTTTACCAATTTGTATTGAAGTTATAGTCCATCAAGGGTGTGAGCTTGGGGTGGTGGCTACTTTACAACACACAAGGACCATGAGGAACAAAAGTAGCCACCCTCCAGAAGGAAGGACAGTGTCCGCATGAATTAAGAGATGATTTGAGGATCTACGGTTGAGTGATGCACAAATACGATACATTTTGTTAATACTTATTTACTTGAAAGCATTTTTAAGATTTAACTTGTAAATTTAGTGTCACTTTAAATATGCTGCCCTAGTAACCCTCATTCATGATTGTCTTTTGTACAAGGCCCAACGTTTGGGTCATTTCATTTTTTTGGTAAAAAAAACAATGCTAGAATATGATATAGGTGACAGTATGTCATCTGAATTCAAAACATTCATCAATGTGGTGAATTCAGTGCTATACACCTGATAGATTTCTAAACTTACTAAAGTAGAACCTATTGAGTACAACAGCTCTTGAATAAGTAGATACACTGACAGAATTAGGCTGTTTTTTTGTTGCTCTTCTAGGGGTGCTGGAATTCTTATGTCACATATTGTACTTTCTAAATACACTAAGATGGGACACACAATGCCAAACCCATCTACATTAAATTAATTTGAAATGTCTAGAGACATACTGCACATTACTAGCAGCAAATGTTTGTGCTTGCTGTACCCCAAAGAGATGAGGAAGGTCAAACTAATTTACAGGTTTTAACAACTCTTTTATCTAGCTCCAGTTTGTAAGTGTGATAACTTCCTAGAGGATAATTTTACCCAAATTCTTAACCAAATTTTACCCAAAACCCAGCTTTTCAGCTCTCCCTATGTGGAGACAAAGCATATATTTTGCTTAAATTAAAACTATCCTTTAATATTTGGTAGCTTATATAATCTGAATTTTGTTTGCCTGGAGTTGACTTGCTCTGCAAATAAATACCCTTCATTTATTTATCTGAATTTTACAAACCAGTGAAATGTTGTTTGCACTATATAGCAAATTGGCTTAAAAACGTCGCTAGAATAATGAGTCTCCAGTAAAGTTGGCTATAGGCACAGTAATCTCTCACCCATATTGAGATGTGGTGAGAGGTCTGCTTGTTCTTTAAAACGTTTTCCTCCACCAGGGTCCATTGTAAACTCTATTCTTTCTGAGGAATGCAGGTGGTGTACATGCACTTTGTACCACTTACCTTTGCAACAGACTGGCATATGTGCTAAAACAAGCAGTTGTAATACTGTTTAACAATTACTGTTAGATAGCTCAGTTGTCTTACAGCCTAACTTCAGCCAAATGTTATTTATTTTTCATTCAGTGGTTAAGAGTCAGAACCGTCAGGTTTTTATTGCTCTCTGCCTCTTCATTGGGGGATTTTCCCTTACTTCCTGTCCCAGTGAGCCCTATACAAGAATGAAGTGTGGTAACCACATGGATAAGAAGAGAAAGACAGCAATAAAAACATTGTCAAATGTTCTAACTCTTCCATAATCTGCTAAAAATGTGTTTTGGTTCTTATAAATTTCCCCCTTGTAGAGATTTCCGATCACTTACTGACAGGAAATAAGGGTACGTTTTCACAACGAGAATATAGTAATAAAGCTTGACAAGGGTTATAACCCTTCCCCACTCTACCCAAAATAAACAAAATGTATTTTTGGAGTTGGGCGTTAAAATGTATTTGAATGCTAATGATTGTCAGTGCAGTATAAATTGTCATAGTATTACACTATCGCATTGTTTGTATTAAAGTATTACCAATAAAGAGCTTCTGATTTAACTTTTGTAAAGCAGTCACATGATTGCAATTCAGAATAGCTATCATTGTTGGTGAGATCAGGGGTAGAGACTTGTTAGGACAATTGCCAGCTTACACCAGCATCACTTCAGGAAACGGCATGTAAACAAGGGGCATTGTGACGAAGCTGACTGTGGGTCTACAGACATGCTGGATCTGCTTTCGTGCTTAGCTTGATGAGAAAGCTACACGAAGGGGAGTGGGGGACTAGTAGAGTCACCAGGTATCTTACAGCAGAAGAATAAATAAAGACATTAGAAACTAGTGTTAAAAAAACTATATGTATACATAAACACTTATATGAAATATTAACTTTTGGGGTAACATACACTTTAAGTGATGCCAGGTTCTGTCAAAATTAGGTTGATCTACTAATAGTAGAGCATGTTCACTTTGCAAAGTGAGTTTTCACTTAGGCCCCTTGCACACGGGCATTCCGATCAGGTCAGCCTGTCAGTTTTTCAGGCACATCTGATTGGAGGCTCAGTGTTACTCTATGTGCAGCTGGATCTAAATAGACGTGCATCAGTTTACATCTGATTACCCCCGACTCCGTCCAGAATCCTCATTTGGCGGACCTGATCGGGGCACGTTGGGGGTATTCTAATGTATACAGACACATGCCCATTTACATCTGACTCCCACTAGACATATATGGGTACAGTAAGTTCAGTTTTTTCCTCTATTGCAAGATGCAGGAAAAAACTGACAGTCGCCCGGGGGAAAGTAGCCTTAGTGATTGAGGTAAATATTTACTGTACAAAGAATACTCAGTAAGATGCAAGGATAATCATGCTTGATAGTATATTTAAAGAAGAAATCTGGAGACATTTGTATTAATCCTTGCAGTGGGGCTTCCCCCACACTGCAAGGGTTAAGTACTCAATTTGGTCTAGGGAGGATAATAACAAAGTTATACTCGCCTGCTCCTCAGAGCCGGCTTGCTCTTAGATCGGTCCCTAGAGACAGGCTGAAGGGAACGCTGTCACACTCGACTGGCTCCGAGGATCAGGTGAATATACCTTTGTTATATTCCTCCCTAGACCAAAATGAGCATTTAACCCTTGCAGTGCGGGGGTAGCCCTACTGCAAGGGTTCCTGAAATATTTTCCTGGAGTTCTGCTTTATAGTCAGCAAAGATTCACCTCATTCACTAATCCAAGTGAAAATTCAGTTTGCAAAGTGAACATGCTGGACTTTTTTAGTACATCAACCCCAATGTTTTCTTTTTTTGGTACTGTGCATGACCACCATATGACCTCTAATCTGAGAAGTCACAAAAAGCATACTTTGTATATTTTAGTGAGGAGACTGAAGAAGATGCACAGGAGCTATCCACAGAAGAGGACGAGGAAGAAGAAACCTCAGATGAATTTTGTCAGAATAGTAATATCAGCCATGAGCTAAGCTGTAACAGTAAGAAGAGGGTGACTGATGAAGATGACATAAAAGAAGACAACAAAAAAAGCAAACTAAACACAGAGGATATCACCAATTCCCAGCACACTGAAGACACAACACAAAATCTGATCATTGTTGAGCAGACACAGAAAAGCCAAAGTGCTGAAGATAATAAAAAACAAATCATATTGAAGACAGAAGATCTGGTATTGTTTCTTGGTAAGAAACCATGTTCAGAGCAGAACATGTGTATGATGCACTACATAACCTTAATCCTGAAACCAGTGCAAAGCAGAAGCGCAGGGCTTATACTTATTTTACTTGCAGTGGTTGCTAATGCTCAGCTTCTGGTGGATTGCTCTGCTTTCAGCAGTGTCAATGTCCCTATACAGCAGGGCCAAAAAGCCTATTAAACTATCACTATTATTTATACTATTTGTACACCTTAAATATGTAACAACAAGCAAAAAAAAGTATTAACAAATTCAAATTATGATAAAGTTCTGGCCCTGCTATATTGGAACCATTACATTTTTGAATCTAACATACATCAAAAGCTGTTTCCTACATAGTATCAGTAACAAGTACAAGTACCTTTAACAATGACCCCTGAAGTAGCTGCTGGATTAGTTGGATTTCCCTTCCTTTCTAGTAGTTACCTTCCCTTTAACTATACCCAGAAAGTCACCGGCAAACCAATGGTGATACAAATAGGCTTTATTCAGGCTACAGGATGCCCTGAAGAAAAGGGCTGATTAGACCGACTTAACAATAGAAGGATTACTGCGTTATCGGTCACCAAAATATACTATCAGGGTTATTCACAAAAGGGTGAAGAGTTTGGAGAAGGCAGGAGAAGTGAACAATCTAGGCCAAAATAGCTGATTTGGAAAGTGAGCTGCCTTCTCCAAACTTGTCACCCTTTTGTGAATAACCCTGTATATCCAAAGACATATAGCAAAATCCCCAATTCAAAGACATTCCCAAGTCTGTCTACAAAACAAGCTTTGCTAATACAATAATGGTAAAAGAATAGTGCACAAAAGACTGACTGGATTTGCCTGTATTTTAGGTAACCAGTAAAGCCATTGCTACTGTATGTTAGCAACCAATACTGTACGATTCTGTACAAGAATATACTTAGGGGTGTATTCATAAACAATTCGCAGAGCCATTAGGCCTCCATGAACGTTTGTTCTGTGTGAATGGAGGCAAAAATGAATGTTCTTGGTATATTTTCTTTTTAGGTCAAATTTAATATTAGGAAAATACCACATTATGGCCACTAAATAGAGCTGACGAACATAGGAAATAAATACTACTTTCCTATGCTCCTTATCTCCATTTAGTGACTATAATGAGGTATTACATTCGACCTGAAAAGAAAATATACTAAGAACATTTGTTTTTGTCTCTATTTGCACAGAACAAATATTCATGGAGTTTTACAGGATGAATGGCTCTGTGAATTGTTTATAAATATACCCCTTAGTGTGCTGCGAAAACAAACCACTTAAAACAATTACTATATAAGCTCTGTCTGACAAGACGCAATGCTAAAATTACATTTCAGTGGCCACTATATATAGCTCTGTCTGTAATTAATGCTTAACAAAAACAATTAACTGCTTCATAGCTCAATAGCAATTTGATATCTGTAACAACTACATAATACATATTAGCATGCACATGTTAAATGATATTCTAAGTTATACACACGGTATATTCAACAATATCTAAATATTATATCTCCTAAATGTTGAAATATTTTTTAAACCATAATACACTGTATGGCCTAAACCATGGTCAGCAGGCTTAAAACGATCAACAATTGGGGGCTTTGGAAAGGCCAGACCCTCATTATATAGGAGCGGGCTCACAGGGGCCATATTGTTAATGTATGTTGGAACTGTTAGGGAGAGGAGCGGGTGAGCTGACAAACTGCATAGGTAGAGCTTAGGGAGATCCTTACTAAACTGTGCTGTTCTCTGCTGTATTTTGCAATGGTGGGCTGCATAATCTTGTATGCCTCCCTTGTGTTCACACCTTCATTGTTTAGGGTTTATATTTTGCAGGGGAGTTGGAGGTTTTTAAAGTGCAAGGAGGTAGTAGAGGGTGATCAGGTCCTGCAGGACAACGTAGTGGTCAGTGTTAATTTAGTCAACTAAAATGTGTCGTCATAGTTTTTGTTATCTTCATGTTTTCACTGATGAAAACTAAATAAAAACTATGACGAAACTAAAAGAATTCAGATGACTAAAATGCAACTAAAACTAAACATGCTCATTTTAGTCATCTGAATTCTTTGAGTTGTAGTTTAGTTTTGTCGACTAAATCTCCAGTAGAGACAATTGCCATGTATTTTCGTCCATAGTCTTCCTCCTTTTAACTTGGTTTTTATTTAGTTTTCATCAGTAAAAACATGCAGAGAACGAAAACTATGACGACACATTTTAGTCGACTAAGTTGCAAACAAAGTGGCAAACCAATCCAGCCACAGCAAGTACAGGAGGTAGTTCTGCAATCGGGCCTCTTTTCATTCATACAAAACTGTCCTGCTACTGGCTAATTTCTACAAAACCATACCTTTTTATATATATTTTAAAATGGTGCAGTGGAGAGTTGGGAAAAAAGAGAGTTCACAAACTGTGCCATCAAACTGTTGCGCCACTGGCCAATTTTTATCAAACTACTTTTTAGTGACCCGCTGGACTCTGGGCTTAGTGACCCTCTGGACTCTGGGCTTAGTGACGTGCTGGACGCAGGGCTTAGTGACGCGCTGGATTCTGGGCTCAGTGACGCGCTGGACTCTGAGCTCAGTGACGCGCTGGAGACAGGGCTGTGATGCGCTGGACGCAGGGCTCAGCGACGCGATGGACGCAGGGCTTAGTGGCGCGATGGACACAGGGCTTAGTGACGCAATGGACGCAGGGCTTAGTGACGCGCTGGACTCTGGGCTGGCTTAGTGGCGCGATGGACACAGGGCTTAGTGACGCAATGGACGCAGGGCTTAGTGACGCGCTGGACTCTGGGCTTAGTGATGCGCTGGACTCTGGGCTTAGTGACGCGCTGGACGCTGGGCTTAGTGACTCGCTGGACGCAAGGCTTAGTGACTTGCTGCACGCAGGACCCTCCTGAGAGTGACCCTGCAGAGCCCACCATAGATACTGCACAGCCCATCTGATACTCTCTATGGTGGACTCTGAAGGGGTCTCAGGTGGGCTGGTTAGGGCTGCATCCCCCTCCCTCCCTCCCAGCTACTCTTACCTGCTCCGGTTGCCTGTACACCTGGCCTCCTCTGCCGCCGGACTGGCCGGAAGTGACGTGATGCTCCTACATCAGAAGAGGAGGGAGGTGATGGGGCCCCAGCCTGTCTTTAAGCTGCTGCAGCGGCAATGCTGGGGCCCTGCACTGCTAGGGCCAAGCCTCCTCTGGCGCTACGGGGACCCGGCCACCTCCTCGCTTTTCACCGTCGGCCGATACTCATGTAAGGGTCCCGGTCGGGGCCCCCAGACTGCCCGGGCCCCTTACATGAGTATTGGCCGTACCCCCCCTGATGGCGGCCCTGACTTCCACAGGTCAAAGCAGGCTCAGCACAACTTGATGGAAGCATATTTGTCACTGCTAAAACCACCTGAAAAAAAGGCATTTTATTAATTGATATGGTTCAAATATTAATAGATTGGGGTGCTGAGGAAAAAAAGGTCCAACAGGCAAAAATATGCTGCTAAAGTACACTGTTGCTTAAGCTGTCTGTGAAAATCATGTTGTTCTTTAACAACACATAACAGCTTGTAAGCATCACTTAAATGCTATTAGGTTCTTTAAATTTAAAGGATTTGTGCATTTTCCATGTTGCCATTGAAGCTACATAAAAAAGCCCCTCCTCCGCTGCATTTTTATTTTTTAATTGGCGTTGGCATTGGCACAGTGCTATTTGTTTGGCAATAGCTTGCCCAGCATACCCACAATTTCTTATTAATATTTGTCCCCCCCCATTGACTTCAGTGGGGATCGCAGCATAATTTTGTTCACACATTTTTGTATTTGCTGAACCTTTGGCAAATAAAACCTTGACTGATTCCTTCATCCCCAATCCTTAATGGCAGTTTTTTTTGGCATGCAGAATTTCCAATGTTACTTGTAGTTTACATTTTATTATCATTATTAATGACTTATATAGCAGCCATGACTCTTGCAGGAGTGTAGGCAGGGCCAGGCATCCAGAGCCCAGGGCATGTGCCCCGCATCTCTCTACTGGTGCCGCAGGTGCCAACACTGCCTGCCTGGTTTACTTGGTTCTTGTCACTGCCCTGTGACAGAGACAGAGCAACCAGTCAGTGTTTTGTGTGTGCATCCACCTAATAGAGCCGTGCTGGCTTTTCTAAGTGGAAGATGAAAGGTGAGCCTTGGATGGGAAAAATGTATTTGGGTGTCCAGAGGTGAGAGCTGTGGATGCAGTGGTGAAAGCTGTGAATGGAAGGCGGTCCAGAGGTGGGAGCAGTGGTTGGATGGTGGGGTGCAGATATGAGAGCTGTGGATGGGGTTGAGCTGCGGACAGGGGGTGCTGTAGTATGATGTGGATGGGGGGCAGAGATGAGCTGTGAAGAGTGGTGTAGACGTAAGCTGTGGACAGGGGGGCAGTAGTTAGATGTGAAGCGGGGCACAGAAGTGAGCTGTGGATGGGGAGCGCAGAGGTGAGCTGTGAACAGGGATCAAAGAAGTAAGCTGTAGATGGGGGGCAAGAGATAAGCAGAGGAAGAAGAGTGCAGAGGCAAACAGACAGATGGTTACTTTTGGAGGAGTTTCTAGTGGAAGGGGGTTTTTTTTGCAGGGGGTGGGGCGATATTTGTTATTTGAAAAATTGGGATTGCAGTCCCCTGAGACAGCGCCACCACGAGGGTGATTGGGAATGGGTTTTGTTCACGCTAGGTGTGCAGCTTCTAGGAATGCAGGACCAGGGCGGCCGACGTTTGTCAAGGAGAACAAAAAATGGGGATAGAAGCGCTACTACCATAAGGAATTAGTTTTAAGCAAAATTGGGGAAACTTACCACAAAGTAATAGCTGATGCGATATCATCGACGAGGGGTGAATAGAAGGGGGACTTCCACTGGTGGGGATTGTGTACAATCAGTTGTGCTTGTGGGAAGGTCAGGGGGAATAGAGGGTTTGGGGGATTCCCGGGATCCGCTGCCCCATCTTGGATCCCGGGACCGGCTCCGAGGGCGTCAGGAGGAGGAGGACGGGAGATCAGCTCCTTTTTTTTTTTTTAATTTCGGTAATTTTTCCTTAATATAGTAAAAAAATAAAACCCCCAGTGGTGAATAAATACCACCAAAAGAAAGCTCTATCTGTCCCCAAAAAAGGGTATAAAATTCATTTCAGTACAGCGCTGCATGACGGAATAAATGTCAGTCAAAGTACCGCAGCGCTGAATACTGAAAAATGGCCTGGATGGGAAGGGGGTTTAACACCGCGGATGTCAACTGGTTAATAAGCAAATCACATGTTTTCTGCAAAATGCATACAAGAGCAGCTTCCACACTCAGGTTTTCAGTTTTAATCTTGAAACCCATTTGGCTTGCCTGTTTGAAGTGTAGGAGAGAAACACATGCAAACCCTCTGTAGGCTTCTTCCTGCTCCCCCACATAAAGAAATCCTGAGGTGTTAAAATATATAATAGTAGTTGTGGTGACGCTTGATCAGGTTGGCATTGAACATTATAGTGACATAGTTTTATAAATTCTTAGGTGTTGTTTTACCTAGGCTGCTCACATGGATGTGCAGACTGTCTGCCCAGAGGATTATTACGTTTTGATATAGGAAACAATGTACAAAAGGGTAAACTTTGCTCTATGTATGTATGGGAATGTTTATGTGAGGGAACTTGTTTTGTATGGTTTTGGAGCCCTTTACTACCATACTAGAAATACCTTCTACTCACTATTACATCTATAACATGCTATTTGCTTTTCAATCCCTTATAGATGTCATATCTCCTCCTCCGGCCCCATTTGATCACAGAATTGTCTCTGCCAAACATGCTCAGATTAATAATTTGTATACTGTGGAAACCGCACATTTACTGGGAGGGTAAGTAATAAGATAAGTGATGTTTTCCTATTTTCCTTTGCAAACTATTGCTGAATGATAGCATTCCCAATATGTTGACATATTTAACGTGGTCTTTTTGAAATATGAGAAGAAATGTGAACAATGTGTTCCATTTATTTACAGTGGAAGATTTGGACAAGTGCACAGATGCACAGAGAAGTCATCAGGACTTTCATTGGCAGCTAAAATCATCAAGGTTAGAGGACATAAAGAAAAGGTCAGTGACATTTTTAGAATTCACCAATGGCTAAATTTTGAAGGTCAATTTCACCTTTAAACAAAAAACAATAACAAATAAATATGTCTTTATAAAAGAAAAATGTGCATACATAATTTTTTTGCATTGGAGCCAATCAAGCATTGCAACTGCGATCAGTGGATAATGTGTGCATTGCTGTAGCAATTCATTGTCATTTACGGACAGGGATGGGTGGGAATATCCTGCAGATACTCCCTCCCATCCATGTCCGTACCAAGGTACAGACATCCAGTATCAGGGGTGGGAAGAATAATGTGAGTACTACAAGTGTAGTGGAAGACGGGTCTAGTAATTTTTCCCTTCACAGATCCTGTCAAAGGATCTAGGAAAGGATGGCACAGCTGGGTGGCCAGAGCCACATTTAGGCTAGCCATTTAAAAAAAAACAGTAGAGAGAAGAACCCCGCGATTCAAGTAAATGGGGGTGGGGGTGGGGTGATCAGTGTGACTATGTTTCATGTTACACCCTGAACATGGGTGTATCATAAAACATGGTATTAAAAGTAAACTTAGGCTGCGGAATGGTAAGAAGTTTGGCTATTGGAAAACTTTTGATTCATTAACATGAAATTATTTAATAGCATAATTTATAGAGACATACCTGTGTAGTAATAATAATAATAATTTACCATAGATTTCTGATGGCTATAAATTGAAAGATATGTTTATTTTTTTAATTGGCGTTGGCATTGGCACAGTACTATTTGTTTGGCAATAGCTTGCCCAGCATACCCACAATTTCTTATTAATATTGACTTCAGTGGGGATCGCAGCATAATTTTGTTCACACATTTTTGTATTTGCTGAACCTTTGGCAAATAAAACCTTGACTGATTCATTCATCCCTAATCCTTAATGGCAGTTTTTTTTGGCAAGCTTGCCCAGCAGATCCACAGGGGACCACAATTTCTTATTAATAATTTGCCATAGATTTCTGATGGCTATAAATTGAAAGATATTTTCATCCAATAGGGATGTCAATTGATAGACAGATCTAAACAAGATTACATTGAAAACCTTCAGAACTGTTTGTAGCAATCACTGGGTATCCAAGTATTTCAGGATCAATTCTTTTTCTTAGAAAGTCTGCACATGCTTACTACAGTATTCGTACCCTCTATTGCCCGATTCTGATCCGTCTCACAAACAATTCATGTCGATCACCTGAGTTAAAGTTTTTACAAGTGTAAATTGTTACCCATACATCAAATATTCTGGAATTTGGACTGTAACTGTCAATTTACACACTTTTGGTATAAAATGGCTTAGGTCCCTGACATGAGATTATATAGCTTTGTAATTTCGTTATGTTTTCAATGCATTGTTTAATTTTTCAAGTACTATGTTGACTCCTTTTATTAGGAGTCTTATTTTAATCTATGTCTTACACTTCTGTATTGCCATAAAAATTGCAATAAAAATTTACTTGCTTAAGAAAGTCCTTTATTTTTCCCTTTAGTGAATTCTGTAATGTGGAAGAGAAAATTCTTCTATGGCTACAGCATTTTATTAGCATTTTCAAAACAAGACTGACACTTGCAGAACAGTGTCTGCAGTGTTAATAAAAGTTACAATGTAGCAATGTTAGTATTGCTTTATTGTAACTACTCTGGTTCGTTCATATGCAGATCAAGGGGGTGACCTTGCATCTGCATATGATGTCAGTTAAAACATGCTTGCAAGCTGAAAAAAACAAAATGAAATAAACTGTTGTGAACAGGGGGTAGCTGTGGGCATAGTGTTCTGTTTAGGCTTTTCTTCTTTTTTTTTTTTTTTTCTCCGTATCTCCATAGGTTGAACTCGATGGACTTGTGTCTTTTTTTTTAACCTGACTAACTATGTAACTATTTAATCCCTTCTCTTTGTTAATCCGAATCAGCCCTAATAAACTCCTTTCTTCCCTTAGCTATTTTTTTGCTTCTGATTCTTTTCTCTTTTTTTTGGTTTCTATTTTTTACCATTAACATTTTACTTCTTTTTTATTTTAATTAATGTAGTTGCTTAATTTTATAGTGATGCATTTAAAAAAAGAGCAAAATTGAATTATAAAAACTCCTTTTTCCATTTGTAAATAATTCTGCCATGCTTTGTAATAGAACATAATTTTTTTGTACCATTATAAATGGTGCAAGTTATAGAATAAAGTGTTAACTTTTATCTACAGGAAAACTTCTTGTTTTAAAACTAACGCTGGTCAAACTAGATAAAGACACATTTTGTTCCCTTTTGCTTTATCTTTTGTCTATAGATTGCATAGAAAATAGAATAATTTTTACAAAACAACATTAGCAAGAGGAAAAAAAAAAGATTTATGTATTACTTTGTTCATAAAGTAGAACTCCAGTCAGCAAATGATTTATAATCCCCTTTACCACCTCTGCCCCTGTTTAATGTCCACTATGGGGTCTATTCACAAAGCTGCCAAAGGATCTGGCTCAGCCGTACCAGCCTGAAGTGAATAGCCGAACAGTGTTCGGCTCACTTCACTTCTGATCGGTCATTCACTCGGCTGCCCTCGGCAGCTTTGTGAATAGACCCCTATGTTTTCAAGTGGACCTTTACCCCCTTTGACTAAAAATCACATCAGCATTCAGCTCTGCAAGCTGATATAAAATCATATTACATTCATTAGTTAAATAAACATATTTTTCTTTTAATTTACAATTACAAATTTACTTACAATTAAAATATTTTTCCACTTCCTGGTCCTCTTAGGGATTAGCAATGTAGCCTGTGCCTAAGTGTTGCATACCGGGTTCTCCTCCTTCCCCTTGCAGTGTTCTCAGTGAGGGCAGAAGCAGCAGAGCTTAACATCCTCACGTCAGTCAGGCACACACCCACAAAGGCACTACATGTCCCAGAAGACCTAGCAAATCATGCTGAGAGGTGCGTGAGGCCATAATGTGTCCAAACACGTTACAAGCCAGGGTGAGAGAGATGCCACTCCATGTGGTCATTACTCTGACACTAGGAATGACCACTTGCAGCTTCAGAAATATAATTATGTATCCCATGTAGTTTGAAGAACTGCAGGGGGGGCAGTAAACTACACAGTAGCCAGGATAGGAAACAAATGTGTAACAATGACTGTCGCACATATTGGTTAAACAAAGCCAGAGTCTGACAAAGGTTTTCTGGGGCTGTCTACGGGCGCCACATAGAGCTCTTATGCAGAAAAAATTAAAATGGGGGCCAGGACACCCTGTTCTAGCCCAGATAGTTGAGCATTTACAAATTGGAGTTCTGCTTTAAGTAATTACAAAGTTATAACTAAACCAATAGGTCCATAGTTGACATGCTAAATTTCTTTAGTCTATAAGGGGTAAAAATTGTGTAGCAAAGTATAACAACCCTTTACATGTGCCTTACCAAAGGAATGTACAGTTCCTCAACAACTGGAGGTTATTTACTCAACAGGTTGACTAGCTATGACACTCAAAGTGGGAACAGAAATTTTGCTAATAAAAAATGTTACATTTACTTTCAGGAGGAAGTAAAAAATGAGATTCAAGTCATGAACCAGCTGAATCATGTCAATCTTATTCAGTTATATGATGCCTTTGAGACCCGAAATGACATAGTCCTTGTTATGGAATAGTAGGTGCATTTTTTTTTTGCTTTGTCTTGAGATACATATATATATAGCTTGGGATCACATTGCATTGCAGAAACCAGGCAGAATATTAGATCACGATCAAGCATTGTGACTAAGTTAATTAATAAGGCCCCATTTTACACCCCTGCTGATCGAAGCAGTACGGAATGGCTGTCACTGTTGTGGCATCCGTGTCCCTCCAGTTTTTTCTCCATCTTACGATAGAGGAGAAAAACTGAACTTACCAGACCCATGTTAGGTCTATGAGGGAGTCGAATGTAAACAGACATGTGTCTGTTTACATCAGATTACCCCAATCCGTCACTTTCAGGTCTGCCAAATCAGAACTTTGTTCCGTTTTGTTCTCCTGATCTGGTCGGAGTTGGGGGTAAGCGGATGTAAATAGACGCACATCCATTTAGATGTGGCTGCCTGTAGACTAAAATTGGGCCTTCGGTCAGATTCGCAGAGAAACTGATTGCTTCACCTGCATAAAAGGGGTCTAAATAGATTTGTATAAGACAAATAGCAAAGTTTAAGATTTAAATATAATTTCAGAGTACCTAAAAGAGAAATAAAGCCAAACCTTTTCTTTGGGCTTTAGTCCTCTTTTGGGTCAAAGGAGTACATGTACTAATGGAATTCTCAATTGTATAGCCGGCTTTTATCTCCCCTATTTACTATATAAAAATGACAATATCAATATATTTACAAACACTTATTATAACATATTATATTGAATCTTTTTTTCTCTTTTAACAGTGTGGATGGCGGTGAATTGTTTGACAGGATTATTGATGACAACTGCAATCTTTCTGAAGTGGATACAATATTATTTATTAAGCAGATCTGTGAAGGAATTCAGTACATGCATCAAATGTACATCATACATTTAGATCTTAAGGTACTATACCTTGGGTTATTTGTATTGACAAGCTGTTCTTAAGGCAAAGGGGAACTGGACTATAGCAGCACAGCAGAGTACAGTAAATATTGTTTTATTTTCTAAATTTATAGTGGAACCATATTGGAATAAAAACAGTTTTGCCATAATACCCTGCAAAAAAGAAATAAGGTGCTACTTTTAATCTTTAACACTTCAGTAATGCACGGTATGGTGCTGCTGGAGCCTGCATATGTTCAATGCAAATACGGACTTTAAAAAAGTGAATATATACATAGAATAGCAATGTACTGTAGAGTACAGAGCACTGTTACATTGGGGACTAGTCTATTCTTCTCACTTTTTATATCAAGAAATTTTGATATAACATTTGTGTGTTTCATGGACTCCATTTTATAAACAAATGCTTGTTGCTGCACATGTAGGATGAGCTGAGTTACCACATTCCTAAAATGTGCTCTATTTTTGTTTCTAGGATTGATGCTGATTTTATTCTTTTTTTTTTCTTTTCAGCCAGAGAATATTATGTGTGTGAGCCGAGCAGATTATCAGATCAAAATTATTGATTTTGGCCTGGCTAGAAGGTAATAATTTTTTGCTTGGACAACCGTCATTGCATAACATTAAAGGCACAGAAAAGTAAAATTTAAAATAAAGGAAATGTATTGCTACAGTATGGCCTGTAATCATTAAAGAAAATCTCCTAATTTCACATACCAGTTACAAGTTGTGATGCACCGATACCGATACTGGTATCGGTATTGGTGCCTATGCTGAGTATTTGGTGACGAGGTAACATGGAGCCAACTTGTGAGCCAATCAGGAAACCGGGCACCATATAATAATGCTTTGCTCGTCTTCCTGATTGGCCAGCTTCTCGACCAATCATTAAGCCGGGCAACACGTAATTACACAGCGCCCGGCTTCCTGATTGATTAGAAAGGTGGCTCCATGCTGTCTCATCACATGGTGACGAGGGTGCAAGAAGACGGCTTCCCTGCTAATTGGGAAGCCGGGTGGCGAGTCTTTACACGCTGCCCAGGTTCCTTAACCTCCCTGTCGGTATGATTATGTCAGGAATTTTGTACCAAAAGCGGTACAATTTTTTGCATGGAAATTTGTTGTTTATATTGTAGGCCTGTAATTCTTAGTAACTCTTAGGAATAACTCACCTAAATCTGTCCAAACAAGAGTCCAGTAGACATTCCAGGTATGATAAAGTTTGAAACACGAAATTAAAAAATTATAATCTAATAAATTATAAATAATTATAA